GCACACAACAAACTCCGCATAGGCGCACAAACGGATAAATCAACTCAGAATTTTACGCCGATCAAGAATATATATACTTGATAGGGTCTCCGAAGATGTCTTTATACACATTGTGGAGAAAAACAAAATGAGTATACACCTCTCTTACAGTGGTGGGTACAATTAAAAATATCACTTCGATTAAAGCGTTAATTCTTTGCAGTCCTATGAAGTAATAGAGAAAAATTTGTATGAAATGTTGCTTTCACGAAACGAATTGCCGCCACTCTACAAGTGAATGATAATTGTAGGTCATAGCCTAACATGGATAAAGCCGCATAAATGGTGATAAAATCTTGAACGGACGCCACATAAGATAGCGCTTTGTGTTTAATAGAATTGAAAAGAAATTTCACATCACAAGTTACTTCAGTCAAGGGATGCATATTACTCTCTACAATCCGGAAATAATACTATTAAAGCACACAATATGGATAAAGTGTTTAGTATTAATCAACAGGATATGCTAGACCATAAACATCTTTAATGACTTTGAAGAAAATTGTGAGCGAAAACTAAGTTTAAATTGAGGTGAAAAAAACGCTACGAACTTTTTGCTTCATATACTTTACTAGCTTCGGATGAGTCGCCGAGTAGATAAGTATCGCGACTACACACTCTGTGTTCGCCAATTCAAATCTCAATGCGATGGAGATTATTTTGGTCGTAGTCATAGTGAATGCTTAGATTGTGCACACACCCACTAGCTTGCAACTTCTTCCCTAACTATTTCTGTTTCCTCACTTCTTTTCAACCGTATTACCGCATTACACGAATAGGAGATATCCACTGAATGATTGGTCATACGATAGAAAGAAAACAGAGAAAATGTACACAAAAAGTCTTATATTGCATAGGTATATACTTTTACGTGTAATATTGAATGATGTGTGCTGTTTATAGTTTCTTTCAATCATAGCATAACATAACGTTGTTGACTCAAAATACCTCAGCAATACCTCAGTAATTTTTCCCTCGAAAAGTTTTCTTGTATTTTCATCTAACAATAACAGTAACAACTGACTTTGTGGTAATTCAATACATTTGTGAATGTAAATATGTTTGCATGTATTTCTGAAATTATATATACCTTGAAGCGTTTCAGTTGTTGTTTAAAGTTTATTATTCGAAAAAGCATTTTATGCACTAAAAGTCACGAAAAAAAAGACCCGAATGCAAATTTTCCGGTTAAAAGAGAAAATTGACTTTTTTTATATGTTGCACTACTTTTGAAGCAGGGTATATTAAGCATATGCGGACGTAAGTAACATTCAGAAAATGTTTTTTTTTTGTTGTAGCAAAAGATCCAGAATTATTTTCTGATGCGATTGAAGCTTGTCGGTCCATGTGTCTGAGTATTTTTATTTTCAACCTACAGATCGTAATTTTTCAGGTACATTGCTGAAATTTGGCACATTGACGTATTGTGGCCGAAGGATGAACGCTATTGGAACAACTTTTTCGTGCATTTCACATATAACGCAAAAATGCAATTTTCGAAATTTCTCGACAGAAGTCGTTGAGTAATAATATTTCGACATTTTAAATTGCGTTGAAACATTTTCGTTCGTTTGGACGCTTTTTCATATTCTCCCACGAATGGTAGAAAGGTGCAATTTTCAATATTTAATGATCAAACTCGGTCGATCAATCTTACTGAATTTGCATCACGTAGATCTATTTTTTGGATACCACCGAATGAATGTGAACCCTTACCTAATTGTTAATATTTTATGATGAAATTGTGGTTTTTTGTCTGTCTTTCCTGTATTTTTGGGGTCCGTCCCAAGCTATGTCCTTATAAAGAAATCGAAATGAAAAACTATATATACGCGAAGTGATGTATGGTGTCTTATGATTGGGTTTACCATACTATAATGTTTTTACTTGTTTTTAACATTGAAAAAGGTAAACAATTCTGCATACACTACATGGAGGACACAACTTTGGCTTTGGGTAGTGATAAAGAATCCTTGCATGTGTTTACGGTATACGCAAGGCTGCGTGATTTTCATAATTTTCGATTCATTGTTCAAATAAGAGAAAAGTTACCTTTAGTTCAGATCGAATTCATTGAGACCCGTAACTTTGTTTTCATTTGTTTTTAATTAATAATTTTTGAAATTAAAGAAACTTTGCCTTATCCAGGATTAGGTTGAATCGTTGAATGTTATTTGTATTTGCTTTTTTATTGTGTTTATTAATTCAATATCGTTGTGCAAGCCATTCACCAAGCCAATATATAGGTATAGCACGTAGTAAATACAATCATGGGCCTTACATCTACGCTCTTAAGATACAGTAGTTTATGTTCATAATTATGATCGAATTACATCACACTGCCAAAATCGGTAGTAATTCGACGCACTGTTACATTCGCACTCATATGCAATTTGTAAAGCGGTGCAGAAGCTCGAAGTGAAAATCATTCTTATCATGGGAGAAAATGCAAAGTGTATAAGGTTAACAATTCTAGCAATATGCCACTCCCATCGCAAAACACATCTCAGCAATCTATTCTTCTAAAAGAATGGCGGATATGTGTCATCGTCTTATACTCGAACAAAGATGCAAAGATTTTTACATGTAGTGCGTAAGAAAGCTCTACGTCTTTGGCAAGTTATTTTTGTGTTACGCGTTACGTCATACTGTTCACACAATTTTTTTTTTTGTAAAACTATTGCGAAAAAAAATTATTATGGACTGCTTTCTCGAAAATTGTCAATCTTTCCTCTTCTATTATCGCACACTGCCGTCATCCTTAGCGGCAAAGCAAAGCTTATGGTCTTATGGCAAGAACTCTTAGCGAAGCATAAATTAATTGTTTTTCTCACGTTTTCTGGCGCTAGTATCTTATTTAGCGGGAACTAAATAAAAGGCGTATAATTCTCAAAGCAAGGGACACATGTCGAAGAATAATTTAGCGGAAATATTCAAATCACTTCCCAAGAGAATAACGACTGAAGCTGTCCGGGAAAAATGGATTGGCGTAGCAATATCGTAGTATAAAATGGCATGAATAAGAATATATAAAATAACTCTCCACTTTTACTGTTGGGAACTCACCAATCATCCAGGCGCTTGAACCAAAGATAAAGTAAAGATCTCTTAAACAATTGGACGTCGACTTGCATTTCTTATTTGCAATAACGGCAAACATATTTCTTTCGTTTTCTTTATTCGTGCATTTTCTTGTTTACTGTACTGGTATTTTACTATCAGCTATCATCATCATGTAGTCTACAAAGTTCATCTTTCATTCTTGTATATATTGGCGTAATGATGATATCACAATTCTTCATAATTTACCTAATTTCATAAATTGTTTTATTAGCTTTTCCATGTATCTTTTTTGTATCCATCACGAATTCATTGGGCTCACAACTAAACAGATAAGCGATTCGGTACATTGATTCTTTCATCCGTCGGACATTTATGCCTCTTCGCTTTTAAAGAAAATCGGATATTCGGAAGAGGCTTGGATGAAGAACCTGTGCTCGCTTTGAACGTTGGATCGCTGAGATTCAGTTCTCTGTCTTTGTTATTCCTCGAGCTATAAAATCCTGTCGGATGTAATGCACATGTTGTAATATTAAATAATTTCCTCTATAAAGGTAGAACCGAAACGAGAGACGACATAAAGCTATTACGTTTGGTTTCAAAGCAATGGAAATATTGGGAAGAACTGCTCATCTCTTTACTTTTTGTATGCCTGGGGCCGCCGTATATCCGAGTGGATAAAAGTGGCGACAACCAAGTCGGTCTCCCAGTCCTTCGTACGACATTGACCGTACTGCCTTATAACTATTGTGAATCTCTAGTCGATGGCAGTATAGACCCATAAGGCTACGTCCATACACTAAATCATTTTCTGTTTTCCTGCTTTTTTCTTATCAACATTATGTTACACGTATGCAGATGACTCTTGAGTAACGACTGGTCATACTAAAAATACAAAAAAAAAAAAAAACCCCTGATACTAGTAAAACCTAATGTTTGACATTATAAGTGGCCTCTGTGACCTTAAAACAAAGTCATTTGAAAATTGATTTAATCGGTACTTTGTATATACTAAACAATGAATATTCAAACTCTTGCGGCTCATGCTCTAAATTTCTCTCTTTTAATAATAAGTGATTTACCTATACAGCAATTACGAGCACCACTAGGATTACCACTAATTAACCCAATGATCCTAAGAGCTAAAAAATACACACAAGCACACTCGTTCATATACTTGGGGCTAATTGATATTGCTGCGTTTGAGTTGCGTGTGTATATGTGTGTGCATGTTTGCAAGTATCTATTTGTGTGTTTTTGTGTTGTGGTATCGAAAATTGCCCGCAAAAACACATAAATTGTTTGATAGAGTGTCATAAATAACCGGAACCCTAGTGCCGACAACACCAACAATAGCATTGAAGATAAGTTGATGTCAGTTTACAATCACAATACTTTATAATTTAAACTTGTACTTGAACAGTAAAGTGGAGCACAATAACCAAAACATAACAATAACATCATTATCCTCGTCAGTGTCATCGACATCGTGTTTATATAACTTTAGTTATGTTTTTCAATACGGTAAAGTGTCATTCACGTTATACACTTTATAGAACTCTCTAGTCATTGTTTGTGCAAAAAAAAAAAAAAAAACAAAAAAAAACATTCGAATACATGAAGATAAATTTAGTATGAAAGCTGTCTTGCAGTTAGTTGTCTGCCTCTATATATATATAAAAATAACTACATATATATATATATGGCTATGTGTGAGTCTGAATTGCACATTAATAATTGTTGTTGTTATTTGATAATCTACTCAATATCGACAACCACAAAGGGATACATAAGTAGTCGTATAACACGCTTTGCGGATTTTATTCAAAATATTGAATAATAAAAGTAAACGTTAAGTAAATAATTTAATTTTTATTTTCTCATTTTTCATATCTTTTTAGTATCCGATTTTACCGAAACCCTTTCCCATTTATATGAGGAACACGCAACTGCCCTTCAAACCTTAGTATCCAATTATCGTAAGAAAAATGGCGAATTGCGTAAAGAGAGGTAAGTGAAAAACACTATTGAATAACATCTCGCTATCCTAATTATAAAATTTGCATTGAATGTCATTTGAGAGATTAGATGTATATTGGCGCGAAATCCTTATCTATTATGTGTTCAAATCAAGTGAACGAGTTTTTTGGTCATTTTAAATCATGCTCTCTGATGAGGAAAATGTACGGACGAGCATAGACTCAAAAAGAAAGACGAGTGAAAGCAAGGGCGAACACAAAAAAATATGGGCAAACAAAAAGATGAGCGGGCAGAAAAATGAACGAGTAAAAATGCGAATGGGCAGAAAAACGACCGTGTAAAGGGCAGACATAAAGATAGGTCGGGAGACGGACGAAAAGTCTGAAGGAAAAGAAAGGCGAGCGGGCAAATAAAAGACGATCAGAAAAACGAGCGGGCAGAAAGATAGTTCGGGAGACAGACGAAGAGTTCGAGGAAAAGTTTGACGGAACAGAAGGACGCGTGGAAAAATGAACCAACAGAAAGACAAGCGAGCAGGAGGACGATCGCACGAAGAGCAGATAGAAATATAAGTCGAGAGACAGACGAAGAGTTTTAGGAAACAGAAAGACGAACGTGCAGAAAAATGAACTAGCAAAAGAACGACCGGGCAAGAAAGAAGCAGACGGAAAGACGACCGAACAAAGAATGGATAGAAATAGAGGCCAAAAGACGGACGAACAGTTTTACGTAATAGAAAGGCGAGCAGGCAGAAAATTGAATGGGCAGAAAGACGTCCGAACGAAGAACAGACAGAAAGATAGGTGGGGAAAAGGGATAATGGGAAGCCGAACATATGAGAATTTTACAGTTATGAAAGTTTTCGACATATGTGTCTTCTTACTGCGAACGAAAAAATAAATCCTCAGCTCCTCCTCCTTAGGTCCTCATCGTTCCAAAACAAGTCTACTAAAAAAAAAGGTTAATATTTATTATTATTCTCTTATAGACCCGCCTGTCATTTGTCAATTTTTCAAGCATGGGAAACATTCCTACAAGAGGTCGAAACTGATTCTCAGGCATCCAACGATGTGGCAAGCGTTCTGTCCAGACAGGTAAAATATAAAATTCA